CGATTAGGGTTAGTGGAATGCAGTTCTCTTACGATGTACAAGATCCTATATTCTTCGATTTCAACCTCGATCTCCCCGCCGGATCTCGTTGCCTCCTTGTTGGTGCCAATGGATCTGGTAAAATATGAAATCGAATTGTGTATTCTGGATTTGCATTTTATGTTTCGGTTATATATGAATCTTGAGTAGATCGATTTGTAGTTTACGAGTGATATCGTGTGATTCTGTTTGGGTTCTGCTTCGATTTCACGCACCTTTTATCTGAGTTTCTTCGTCGAATTCAGATAATTACTTGTAAATTGTGTGTGTGTTATTGAATATGTTGTTGTAATGGCAGGTAAGACCACTTTATTGAAGATTCTTGCGGGAAAGCATATGGTTGGAGGGAAGAACATTGTGCAAGTGCTGAATCGATCAGCTTTTCACGATACACGACTTGTTTGTAGTGGTGACTTGTCTTACCTTGGAGGATCATGGAGCAAAACTGCTGGTTCTGCTGTGAGTAACACTTGTTCTCAAACACTGCAAAAGTTTGAGGACATTTAGTTTCTAAATTTTGATTTTTTTTTTTCTACTGGATTTTTAGGGTGAGATTCCACTTCAGGGAGACTTTTCAGCAGAGCATATGATATTTGGAGGTGGCGTTTTTCGATCTTTTGATTGATTTGGTTTTGAAATATAAAGAAAAGACACTGCTGAAATTGTCTTTTGTTTATTTTCTTGTGCTTATTATACTTGGGGATATGTTTTGTGTGTTGTTTTTTTCCATTCAGTTGAAGGGATTGATCCAGTGAGAAGAGAGAAGTTGATTGATCTTCTTGATATCAATCTTCAATGGCGTATGCACAAGGTTTCTGATGGCCAGAGACGTCGAGTTCAGATATGCATGGGTCTCTTACATCCATTCAAGGTAATGAATATAAACAGAGAAAGATTGATCCTGAAATCTGAGATTTGAAGCTTGTGTCCATCATCATGGTCTCTGTATTAGTTTTGCAATGTGAATCTCTCTGATCACAGGTACTATTACTGGATGAGGTTACTGTTGACCTCGACGTTGTTGCTAGGATGGATTTGTTGGAATTCTTCAAAGAAGAATGTGATCAGGTTAGTTATTGGAAAAATGAAGAATGCTTTTTCATTTTTGGTTGTTGTTGCGTCTCTATAATCAGCTTTAGCTCTCGATGTGAAACCTTTTTTTCCTTTGATAATTGAGCAGAGAGGAGCTACAATTGTATATGCAACTCATATTTTCGACGGTTTAGAGACATGGGCTAGTCATTTAGCTTACATTCATGACGGCGAGCTGAAACTCTCTGCTAAGCTGAGCGAGATTAATGATCTGAAAACGTCACCGAATCTGCTCTCTGTGGTTGAATCTTGGCTTCGGTCTGAAACTAAAGTCGAGAAGAAGACGAAGAAAAAACCTGTTGTTACGTCTCCATTCATGTCGTCTAGACAAATGTCTTACTACCGTTGAATAATCTTTTAACTTCTTTGAGAGAGATAAGCATAATAGCTCGGTAAGAATAAGAGCACTTTTTACATTGTCTTTGTATTTTGTCACTTATCAAAATTCTGTTAAACTACCGTTACATAATTAAATTAATTTGCTTCTTTTCAATTATTCTGCCAAATCTTCAATGACTGTTTATGTGTGTAATTGATGCATTCAAACATATTTGAAAAATAGAACCGTGCCATACAAATTGGTGCAATACAAGACGAATGATTGTAACATAGTTGCTACTTCGAGCCGAACAAAAAAATAATGTTCGATTTAAATGCATATTCTAATTCAATATCTGATGATTGAAGATCTCGAAGATTCGTAGATCGGATTAGTTTAGTTATATATGTACAAAAGTTAGTATTATGAATGTGAAAACTCACCACGATCGATTTTTACTTGGAGATCCACCGACAGATGCACTGGTTACTGGTCATTTGTTTATCTTTTTGGTTATGTTAATTAAACTCGTAACCATGTTAATTATCACTCCCTTATCTATTAAGTAGATAGATTTTACTAATTATATCCCAAATATAATTAGGGGTTCAGTTAGTATATGATTTGTAAGAATGCAATATCTCTCTAAAAAACTGTAACTTAATAATATTATTACAGAATTGGAAACTCAAGATACAATAATCTAATACATATTTTTGTTCTACATTATATCTATAGTATATACAAATGTATCATAGGACATATCCAGTGATAAATTATAAATAATATATGAAATTGTTTTCCGTTTTAAGAAAATGATTTGAGATTGTTTATAAACAAATACAGATATTTGGTTTATTAAACTGTCTTTGTTAGAGTATGTTACGCTTAACCTCTCAGCATCATAAAACAAACCACCG